AAGTTCGAGGCCAGTCTGAGATACACAGTGAGTCCAAGGCCAGCCTGAACTACATAGCAAGACAATGTCTCAAAAATAAAGGAATAAATAAACAAATAAAACAAAGTAGCTCTAGGCTAGACCATTAAAAATACTATTTTGTTTTGTTTTTTAATTGAGATGGATGTCTTCCTGTCTTACCTAGGCTGACCTGGAACTACTTGGCTCAAGCAATCCTCCTGCCCCAGCCTCCCCAGTAGCTAAGGATCTCTGCTATGCACCACCACACCTCACATGAAAAGTACTTCTTACACCAGAAAATCAGTAGGCAGATATTTTTCTTCTTGTTTTGCAACAAGTTACCAAAGAAGGAATTTTATTGGCAAATAATGAATAATGTTAACATATAAATATACTGTCTTTTATATATGTGTAAGTCTTTATTGTGTGTATATAAATTTTTTTTTCTTTTTCTTTTTTGGATAGAGCCCAGGGCTTCATTCATCCTAGGCAAACACTGCCACTGAACAGTATCCTCAGTTCTATTTTTTTTCTTTTGGTCTTTTGAGACAGGGTCTTGTTACGTAGCCCAGGCTGGCCTTGAATTGACAGTGATCCTCCTGCCTCAGCCTCCCGAGTGCTGGGATCACAGGTGTGCACCAAAGTTAAGAAAATAGCCAGGTTCCTACTACTTAAAGGTAAAACCCAATTTTTTTTTTGTACCTGGGATTGAACTCAGGACCTTGTGCCTGCGAGGCAGGTGGTGGGACTACTGAGCTGAATCCCCAGCCCAAAACCTAACTTGCTGAGCACCGAGTCTGTCTTCCATCATCTCCACACCAACGCTCAGGTCACGCCCCCATGGCGGTTCCTGCCCGCAACGACCCTCCTCCTCCTTACAAACTCCTTTGATTTTTGGAACCCACTTCAAAGGAGCCTGCTGTAAAGCTTTTCCAATGCCTCCTGCTGCTGAGACTTCCAACATCTTACTGCTTCCCATTCTGTTCTCCTAGAGAATTTATGTCCACATCTCATAACATTATCGTCACTGGCTGATAATAATGACTGTCTCTTGAGAGAAAACATGCCCCGTTCCCCCCCCCCCGGCCTTCTTTCTCTATTTTGTTTCTTTTTTCTTTTCTTTTCCAATTTTATTTTCTTTATTTTTGTGACACTGGGGATTGAATTCATGCACGTTAGGAGAGCATTTTACTACTGAGCCACAACCTCAGCCCTTTTTATTTTTATTTTTCTGGTACTAGTGACTGAACCTAGGGCCTTCACACTGAACTATATCCTCAGCCCTTTTTTTATTTTTTTATTTTGAAATGGGGTGTGGCTGAGCTGCTAAATTCCCTGGGATGGGCTTGAACTTGAGATCCTCCTGCCTTGGCCTTCTGATTACAGGGAGGCAAAATCATGCCCAGTTCTTATTTCTTTTAATGGGAGGACAAGAAATGTTTGATGACTGAAATGTTTGATGAATGACCAAGGAAGTGAAACATCTGTATGGTTTGTGGGAGTCACCCTAATCTCCCTGTAAGATAAAAACAGGCTTTTTAATGTGAATTACAGGCTAGAGGTGGCAGGGTCAGAAAGACAAAGGGTTACAGTGTGCAGCCGGGCCAGGGAGGGTGGGGACACAGCCACCTCTCCTGGCTCTTGGAACCAGTGAGTTCCACTTGGCCCTGTTTGTCCTGTCCACCCATTTGGAATGGTTTGCTTCCCTGTCTACCCTACACTTGTGGCAAGTGATTTATAGGTTACAGAGAAAGAAAACAGTACAGAATACTGCACAAAACCTCATTAGAAATGAGGGAAATTGTGACATTAGTGAGCTGTGATCATGTATCAGTCATAGGACTGAAGAAGTCTTGATTCGCCGATGGGAGGTAAAGAAATGATTTTGCTCAAAATACCTTTACATGAATGCTCTTCAAAGTGAAGCAGGGGGATTGAGAGTTCAAGGCCAGCCTGGGCTTCATTGCAAAACTCTGTCTCAGAAACAAACAAAAATAAACATCTTTGATTTGGGGATAATAACTGCCCCACAAGAATTGAGGAAAATGGTGGAGGGGGTCCTGTGCACCCTCACCAGCTTCCCCTGAACGTAGCATCTGAGATAAGCAGCAGCGTGCCCTGCGAACCGGAAGACACGTTGGTAGAATCTGAAGGCCTCACTTTGCCTGTTGTGCCAAGTGCACGTACGCCTGGAGCTCTATGTGACCTAATCGCTTGTGTGGGCGCCTACAGCAGCCACCGCAGTGACCCACAGAAGTCTCCAGCACGAAGAGCTCTCTGTGCCTGGGTACAGCTTGGGATAGAGCGCCTGCCCCACACTGCATGAGGCCATGGGTTCCAACTCCACCATCACAGAAGAAAAAAAGAAAAGATTCTTAGGTTATCCCTTCGCAGGCAGACCCATTGTCCTCTCCTCTCCCTCCATCTTTAGGAATGGCTTTTGAGACAGGGTCTCTCCATGTAATCCAGGCTGGCTTTGAACTCACTGTGTAGCCCAGGCTGGCCCCGAACCCAGAATCCTCCTGCTTCAGCCTCTTGAGTGTTGGGATTACAGGTGTGTGCCACAAAGCTTGGCCTGATTTCTTACAGTTTATATTTATCACTAATCTAAATAAAAGAAAGGACAGTTTCTCCTGCTGATTCTGGAAGAGGGCACACAGTAGGCAGTTAGGGGAACATCTGAACCCTAAGGCTGATAGTGATGTGTCACTGGCAGGTTTCCAACAAAATGTACATTGACTCTGATAAGCACTGGGCATAGGAACTCAACAAATATTTATCAGGCAAGGACACCCGTCCAGCAGGGAGTAGCACATTTCATCACAGCTTCCTAATAGAAGTGGGAAACAATGCACCATTTGTTCCAAAGGGCAGTCGTATGCAAATTAGTAAGCCCTGTCAAAGCGGAAAAATAGAAAAGCTGGCAGGTCACCTATTTGATTTTCCTATTTACAGCTCTGTAAGCAAGAGATTAAAAAAAAAGTAGACTAAAAGCCCACTAAAGTCTTTCACCCAGAACACTGAGACTAACACCCCAAGGCCCCTATTCCTGAAACCTCACCGGAGCTCTCAGCACAGGGAGGACAGGGACAGGTACCAGGTGTGTGACCAGGTAGGAGGAACAGCGGTTGCAGAGTGGTCACAGTGACTTCCTTGCTGATAGTCACCTCTTTTGGGGTATTTTTGTTTTTTTTTTTTTGGTACCAGGGATCGAACTCGGGACCTTGTGCTTGCAAGGCAGACGCCAGAACCACTGAGCTAAATCCCTGGCCCTAGCTCTGATATCTTTTAACCCATTTAACACCCCTGAGAGATCTGTGAACTTCTTATCTTCATTTTACAGTGAGAAAACTAAGATGTAAAGAACTTAAATGTTTTGTTTAAGGTCACACAACTAGGGAGTGGAAGATGTAGGATTCCAACTCAGTCTTCACATTCATAAGGTCTGAGGTATGATACAGAAACCTACACACAGAACTTTCTTTTTTGGTTTGAGACAGGGTCTCTCTATGCAGTTCAGGCTGGCCTTGAACTCACTATGTAGCCCACGTTGGCCTTGAGCTCTCAGTGATCCTCCTGCCTCAGCCTCCTGAGGGCTGGGATTCCAGGTGTGCACCACCGTGCCCAGCTTATACACAGAACTTTTAAAAGTCCCTCAGGTCTGGGAGGCCAAGGCAGGAGGATGCAAGTTTGAGCCCAACCTGGACAACTTAGTGATTTAACTATTGTCTCAAAATAAAAAATGAAAAAAGGGCAAAAAAGAAGATAGAACCCCCCGCCCCCTTCCTGCACCTCAGTCCCTAATTCCCAGGCCCCAGGCCCCAGGAGACTGTGATACTGGCTCTTTGGGTAGCATTGCTGGAAGGTACTATATTCCCTGTGAAGGACTCTCCAGCTATTTGGGGCGCAGACACAGAAAGAACCGATAAACTTATATCGGAAATGCTATCTAGGGGCTGGGGATGTAGCTCAGTGGTTCTGTCGCCTGCCTCCCACCCCAAGGACCCAAGTTCAGTACCCGGTACCAAAAAAAAAAAATGCTATCTATCCTTTCATAAATGTATACTTATTCCTAAATCATCATTATCATTTAAGCTCATAAAACAGCCAGAAGCCTCAATGTTGCAAGGATTTCCACCAGAAAAGGAATTTAATTACTGTGTAGTTATGGCTTCTTTTTTTCTTTTTCTTTTTTACAGTACTGGGGCTCAAACTCTGGGCCTTCCGCATGCTGGGCCAGTGATCTGTCATTGATCCACATTCCCCACCTCACCTGCTTGTTGCTATAGAGCGTAAGTTTAGTTACATCTAATATTGTGGTGGGTAGATGCTGGCTGGCATGGTTCAGTATTTAAGCTTATTCATTTACATTTTCTTTAAAAATAAAAAGAACTATTAGGCAGATAGAAACTCAGGCTAGCTGGATGTGGTGGTGCATGCCTGTAGTCCTCGCACTCAGGAGGCTAAGGCTGGAGGAGCGCCTCAAGTTCTAGGCCAGCCTGGGCCACTTAGAGAGTTCAAGGCCAGCCTGAACTACATAGCAAGACCCTCTCTCAAAAAAGAAAAAAATAAAGATTATGATACAGAAGAAAAAAGATTCTTTTAATCTGAAGCACAGACATACTTTGCAAAGCAGATATGTAATTGGACCTAATGAAATGTCTTTAATGAAAATGGAAAGACTTCCTTATGAGGAATGAGTGTATGAATTAACATTTTAAAAAAGCGGGTTTGTATACACAGGCCAAAGAATACTAACTACATGTGTCATTTCATTCACAAGAAAGAGGCGGGGAAATCTCTAGAATCACATTTGATTTCAACACACCAAGCCAAACAGCTAATAAACCTCCCACAAAGAATGAAACTATTTTGAACATGTCATTCTACAAATGCAAATTATAATACTAAGATGCATAGCGCTGTGTACAGTAGAAAGTACTGACCTTTCATTGAGAAGAGGAGGAGTCGGGATCCTGACAGGGCTGGGCAGCCAGCCTGCTCTGGGGCACTTCCTGTTGTCACCACACCTCTGGCTTAGCTACTGGAGCTCCTGGGAGGGAGCGCGGGCCCACAGTGGAGACTCTCACGGCTCTTCGGCTCTTGGAGGTGGCACGCTTCCCCCGGCTTCCATATGTGGAAGTTCTACTTAACCATCAGCCTGATGTGCCTGGTGAGGTCAGGTAGGTCTTTATTGCATGGTTTTCTTACAAACTTCAAGAAATTAGTAATATTATCCTCTGGTATTCATCATCCTATGTCCTTCAGTGGATTTTTCATGGCCATTTTTAAGGAAGGGATGGTTAAATGAACTTTCTAATCTTGAATTTTTTTCCCTCAGTAATATCTTTGAATTAACTTTTTCTTGTGTACGAAAGGTAAATATGCTGATCCATCTAGGATAGTATAACTTTCTTTCATTGTTAAATTTTCTGTGCCTTTTTGCTTCTATGAATTGATATCACTTATATTCTGAAATTTTTAATTTACATTAGTTATACTTTTTATTTTATTTTATTTATTTTGGGTTTCTTGAGACAGAGTCTCACTGTGTAGCCCAGACTTTGCTCATCAGAAGATGTTAAGTAAAAAGCCAGATCAAAGAAAATTAGGTTGCCCTTATTCAAATTTTGCAGATAGAGATATATAATAGGATACTCAAAGAAAGTACCCACAGAGCATCACCAGGTTTTTGTGTTAGGGTCCTCCCCCTTAAGATATCTGTAAAGTTATGTTCAATTTTTAAATTTAAAAATGAAAATAAAGGGGCCAGGGATTTAGCTCAGTGTTCTGTTGCCTGCTTCGCAAGCGCAAGGACCCAAGTTCAATCCCCGGTACCAAAAAATAAATAAATAAATAAAAAATGAAAATAAACATACACTTTAGCCAGGCAGAGTAGTTTATGCCTATAACCCCAGTTACGCAAAAGGCTGAGGCAGGAGGATCACAAGTTTGAGGTCACTTGAGATATCTATTTAGATCTAGATCTAGGGATGTAGCGCAGTGTAGAACCCTGGGTTCAATCCCTAGTATCACAAAAAAGGGGCATGGACATACACTCTAAAATGCTGCTTTCTTGGTTAAAAATATCATTAGTATAATTTTAACTTATCAAAAACTTCAAAATCATGTATTAAGGAAAACATACAGATTTCAAATCCTAATATAATTAAATTTCCCATTCTTCTATTCTTTATTCACCCATTTACCTACATGATTTTAACGTAGTTATAATTACAGTTTACAAAATTGAGTTCTTTTTCTCTACTTTGCATTATTTTATTTTATTCATTTATTTATTTTGATATAATTTTCTGTGGCACTGAAGATTGAACCCAGGGCCTTATACATGCTAGACAAGCACTGAGCTATAACCTGATGCTTTTTAAAATGTTATTTTGAGACAGAGTCTCACTAAATTGCCCAGGCTGGCCTGGAACTTCAAATTTCAGCTCCTAAGCAGCTGGGAATACAGCCATGCACCACCATACCCTGCGAGATTGGTGTAATTTTTGAAGGGTAAGGGGGAATACGTTATATATTAAGACCCATAAAAATGTTCATAACCTTTGAGCTCATAAAACCATGACTGAGAATCTACTCTAAAGAAATATCTTTTAAAAGGAAAACAGCAGTGCAGTGTCTGCCTCGCAAGCACCAAGGCCGCGGGTTTAATCCCGGATACCAAAAAAGAAAAAAGATAAAAAGAAGCCTTGAAAATAATTCTGATGCTGTGCAGAAATGTGCAAACATGTTTCTAAAATAATACAAAGTAGGGCCAGGGATTTAGCTCAGTGGTCCCACTGCCTGCCTCACAAGCAAAAGGTCCCAAGTTCGATCCCCGGTACCAAAGAAATAAAATAAAGTCTTTTTTTCAATGACTTTGGGAAACAGTCGCTGCTGCATGATAAAATCTAAGCAGCCTGAGATAAATAACAATACATTTTATCTAGAAGAAATAAAAAGAAATTATAGCCAGTTGTAAGCTAAATTTAAATTTCTCAGTATCTACACAACCCTGAACTTGAGATTTTTCACTCCCAAAAGGTGTTACTCATGTATCTGATAGCAAAAATTATTATTATTTTTTAAAATTCTTTGGTTTTTTTGAGACAGGGTCTTGCTGTGTAGTCCAGGCTAGCCTTGAACTCACTATGTAGCCCAGGCTGGGGTGGAACGCACAGTGATCCTACTGCCTCAGCCTCTGAGTGCTGGGATCACAGGTGTGCACCACCAGGCCTGGCTGATAGCAAAAATTATTAATCACAAATGCTTTGTTTTTTTATTTCTTCCTTCTTTGTCTTGCAGTCCAAAAATTGGCAAGCATTACGATGGGATTCTTGATCAGAGACCTTTGTTTTGTTGTTCCGGTCTTTAGGAAGTCATGTTAGGAATGTTTGCCCTGATCTCACCAGGGGACAAAGCCTGCTTGCAAAGACTGAAGTGGGCTAGAATCACCTGGTGCTGTTGTTCAAAATTCTCTACCCCTCAAGATCAAGAGGGGGGCTCTGAGATAAGATCCCTAGGATCTGCATTTTTTTTGTGCCAGAGATCGAACTCAGGACCTTGAGCTTTTGAGGCAGGCGCTGGAACCACTGAGCTAAATTCCTGGGCCAGATCTGTATTTTTAACAGGCCCTCAAGCCTTTTTTTATCTGTGGGTTGTCTAAGGGACACACATTGATAAATATTGTTCTAAATTAAGGCTGTTTGTCTTAAGCATTTTTGAAAGGTACTTTGCTATCATATCTTGGTCTATGACAGTGACAATGGTGTAAAACTATGTAGCTATTTTCTCAGAGAAAATAGATTATAGTAGTTTTTCTTTATCCTTGGGGAAATAATATTCCAAGATATTCCAGGAATGATTGAAACCCCAGATAGAACCAAACCCTGAGTATATTTGTACACGATACGTTTTCCTGTGCATACACACCTATGATAAAGTTTAATTTACAAATTAGGCACAGTAAGAGATTAACCACAGGTATAAAATAGAATAATTATAACGAGATACTATAACAAAAGTTTCTTTGTTTTGGTACTGGGGATCAAACTCGGAACCTGGCACTTGCGAGGCAGCCAGCAGCACCACTGAGCTAAATCCCCAGCTAAACAAAAGTTAGATGAATGTGGCCTCTCAAAATGTCTTACTGTATTTTTGGACCATTGGTGACCATGGGTAACTGAAACTGTGGATGAGGGGGACTCTGGTCATGCCCCAAGCAGAGAGAATTATTTCCTCAGATATCAAAAATCCCCTTGGGCCAGGGATTTAGCTCAGTGGTTCCAGTGCCTGCCTTGCAAGTGAAAGGTCCAGAGTTCGATCCCGGTACCAAAAAAAAAAAATTCCCTCAAATGGTTTATAACTATGCGTGCATGTGTGTCTGAGTCACCTTTGTCTTACACAGAGGCAAAGGAGAGTAAGTGAGTGTGAAGGTGAATGTGGGCATGTGGCTTAGCTCTTAAGGCCAAATTAGAGGGGCCCCTGCCAAAAGGAAAAAACTCTAAATTGAGTTACTTTTCCAATTTAAACATTTTAATAGGATTTTGGGTCTGGGCATGTCGCTTAGCGGTAGAGTGCTTCCAGCATGCATAAGGCCCTAAGGTTCATCCCCAGCACCAGACCAAATAAATAAATATATAGGTGCTCAACTCATTTTCTGATACCTCCAAGGAGAAGTTTTGGGACTAAAAATATAACATTTCTTAAGATTTTTATTTCGTAGATTTTGGTTACTAGAAACATTCTGGTTTATATCCCTGCTACTAATGTCTGTTCCAGAGTATGCAGAATATTTAAAAATGTCTCCCTTGATTGTTTTTTTGTTTTGTTTTGGTTTGGTGTTTTCGAGACAAGGTCTCGATATGTAGCCCAGGCTGGCCTTTAACTCACTACATAGCCTGGGGTGGCCTCGAACTCCTGGTGATCCTCCTGCCTCAGCCTCCTGGAGTGTGGGGATTACAGGCATGCACCACTAGCCCACCGCTTTCCCTTGATCTTTATTTTTTGGGTACCTGGAATTGAACTCGGGACCTTTCGTTTACCAGGCAGGCAACAGCACCACTGAGCTGCATCCCTGGGCCCTTTCCCTTGATCTTGATTGAAATCTTGGTAATTATTTTCCGGCAGCATCTCTGAGTCTTTAAACTTGACCCTGGGCGCGCATGTAAAGAAGTCATCAGTGCACATCTGTGTCTCGTGTGGGAGTGGGGAACAATAGCTTGGGTCCACTTTGGAGCCTAAAACTTGAAATAAGAAAGAAGCACAAGTCAAGGCCAGGCCTGTTTGACATCCTGACTGGACTAGGGTCAAGTTCAGCGGGTTTCGTGTCAGCTCCTGGGCCGGGAGGACTCAGGAACCTCCCCATGGGGCTGAGGTAAACTGATGCCCTGGTTTTCTACCATGAGCCAATCAGCCCCGCCAGGAGGTGCAGTGAACCCACCTGCAATTACGGACTCATTCATTCTGCCCACACTCACGGCACTGCATTATGGATTATTTCTTCCTTGATTCCAGTTTCTCTTTTCATAAATACTTCTTTGGATGTGTACCAGGAGACTGAGGCCCAGTGCTGGGGATTGAACCCAGGATCCTGATACCACTGAGCTGTCACCTCAGCCCTCTTATTTTTTATTTTGAGACAAGATCTCCCTAAATTGCCCAGGCTGGCCTCAAATTTGCACTCCTCCTGCCTCAGCCTTCTGAATAGCTGCGATTTTAGATATGCACCATCATGACCAGTGGAGACTCCTCTGTTAAAAGAGGTTACCCCCGGCCAGAGATTTAGCTCGGTGGTTTCACTGCCTGCTGTGCAAGCTCAAGGACCCGAGTTCGATCCCGGTACCAAAAAAAAAGAGGTTACCCTCCCCAATCACAAAGGTGGGAAATTGGGTTGGGGATTGAGCTCAGTGGCACCGTGCCTGCCTTGCAAGCACAAGGTCCTGAGTTCGATCCCTGGTATCCCTCCCCCCCAAAAAAGTGGGAAATGAATTCATTTCCCCCAAAAGTGACAGGAACTAAAGAGCCAGAGGAGGATGTGACTGAGAGAAGTGTCTTTTGAAGACACAAAGCAAAAGGATGCCTTAAAGGTTTAATCAGAAAGGAGGCTCAGTCTGGTGAGAAGGTAGCTCAGCGGTGGGGTTCCTGCCTAGCATACATAAGGCCTGGGGTTCGATCTTCA